GTGGTGTGAAAAACTTATTATGACTTCAGAACGGGGTGAAAATAACTATTTCCTCTTGTTTTTATATGAATGTACATGTTGAAGTTATTATGAACAACTAATCCTCTAGCTAGGGTTAGAGGATAATCGTTTCAGTTCATTCTCGTTTATGTGTATGTCAATTGCTCAATCTATACAAGTTTTATTAATCCTATGATTAAATGCTTGATCACCATTTTAATCTATACAATCGATTTCAAAACCGAGAGGGGCGAAATTGGTAGAACTTGGATCATTTAGAGTAGACATGTTCGGAGACATATTGTCTATGTGTTAATTGTTTCGTTAATTTGCTCTTTTATGCTTATCCACATATTACGAGAGTAGTGAAGTAAAACCACTAAATGAGTTAGTTAGTTGAGCTTTTTAACTGAGTTGTTGATTGCCGTTAAATGAGTGTAGAACCGGAAGCGATTATCCTCGATATCCTAGCACGTTTATATCCCTTTGTATTGTATTTACAAGTCACGACGTTTAAATTGTTTTAGTTAAGAATCATTAGTTAAAAATCAAACCAACAACTTGAATTAGAATTTGTAGGATTATTTTTCGTTTTCGTGATTGAATACATGTATGACTTAGTCCGGCTAACCTTCCTTAACAGACACGACTCGGTGTTCGAATCTTTCGATTCTACTCCGGTAAAAATAACTACAACACCAAGCTGAATGATTCCTTTCTATTTGTTGTCGCAGTTAGCTTGCACCGGAAGAGATTGTGTTGGGGGCCGTACGGCTGAGGGAGGTCTCTGATGATGTCCTGACTGACTCTCAGCGGCCATTTCCCGAAAAGCGGTCGGAGGAACGGTGACAGCTTTAGGTTGGGTGGTCACCCTGTCTTGTGGCAGTCACGATGTTTGATTTCGGGGGTGCGAAGTAGCATGAGAAGTAGCGTCTTCGCCTCTATGTCTTTGAGCTGGTACAACTCGTGGGTTCGCCGGTGTTACCGGTGCAACAGATTGTCCGGGTACCATAACAGACGTCTCGGGCATAGTTTGTGCCATTAGAGTGGAGAATCCTTTCACAAATTCCAAATTTTGAAACAGAGCGGCGAAGTCCGGCATCGTAGGTATCATCGTAGTCCGTCCAGCAGATTGAGCAACACCGCAACTATGGCCATCTCTGGATGCTTGATCACATTGTTCGGATTGAGACATGATTTTTCGCAAGTTTTTTTTTTTCTTTTTTTTTTGCCGAAAAGTTGAAAGATAAGATGTGGCTGGAACATCTTATATCGAAGATTAACCTCAAGTAAATTACGAGGCCATTCTTCTGGCGCTAAACTGTTGTTATGTGGTTTTTAACAACCAAATTAATAACTGTAATAGCGTAATATATGAAAATTCAATGTAAAACACTCAAATAAACGAGATGTAGAAAGTCAGTTTTTTGGTGAACCGAGCTGGGTTTTGATATAATATTATGTGGCAAATGTTCAGAAATCGATCCTTGTATAAGAAGTAAATTTGGCTATTTATAGTAATTTTCTTGTGCTCAAATTTTGAAGCATGTACGACCTTTAATGCAAAGTATCTTTAAGGGGCGATTTGTGATAGTTGGGCCCACAATTATGATGACGTAATACGTGGTATGTAACGGCGCCGCGTTGGTGTAGCGTCACCTGCTTTGGATTTTGGGACTTCGATAGTTGGTTTTCCTTGTTGTCACGTCGGTCAGACAGAGGTGACTTCGGTTATTTGCGTAAATCGGTTCTTCTCTAGTAAGTGAACCGGGGCAAACCTGATCTGATCTGAGTTGCCATAAGTTTGTAAGCTTTGGAACTCCCTAAACTTGGTCTTCTATTTAATTAGGTAAATCACGACTGGTACCAGGTCGGTATCAACAGACTACACCCGTTTTTTCGCCTTTTCGTATACTCCCTTCTATTTATTTTAAATGTCATTCTAGCCTTTTCAACTATTTTGCCAAATAAATGTCGTTTTAGATCTTTTGTACATATTTTTCCATTATTACCCTCATTTAGCCAATAAAATGTATTACGTCTTTTCATATTCACTCTTCACTTTTTTCTCAAAACATTCATCTCTATCCTCATTAAATAAGGTTATTATTGACAAAAAATATTTTTAAGTGCATTTCCAACCCTGCGCTATTGCGCTGGAGTTGTGTAATTTTTGGTCTCCAATCCTGCACTATCTTTACGCGCTACAATACATATTTCTACAGTACTGCGCCAGATGTGGCGCAGTACTGTTCATCTGCGCTGCTTTTTTTTTTTTGTGTATTATTATTGATAAATTTTTGTATAGTGTGTATTAGTAAATGTATTTTTTATGCTAAATAATTTGTGCAATGTATTTTTTATGCCAAATAATTTTGTGTTTTTTATTTATTGATGTATTATACTTTTATGTTACAATTTTTTAATATTAAAATAATACCATATGAATAAAAATTTAACACACTCAAACAAGTTTATTTCATTAAAATTAAATTTTACAACACAGATCAATGAGATAATTAACATTTTATATAAGATTAACTATACATATATACCAATTTATTTGAAATAAAAAATGAATAAAAAAATAATATATTTAATGTAGAGTAAAATGTAGAGATAAGGGTTGAAGATGAATGTTCAACTCTACTCTAGAGTAGAGTAAAGTATGCGCTAGAATAAAAATAAGGACTGAAGTTGGTCTAATTAGTGTGCAACTTTTCAAAACGACATATATTAAAAATATGAGGTAGTACTTATTATCAGTTTCATTTCATATTAAATCTATATTAAATCATGCGCAGTAATTATTTTTTCATAGAACATATCAACCCTCAATCATACTGTCACACGTGGTTTGGGTCTCTTCCATCTTAACCAGTGGTTTCGTGTTCGAGCCCTGGGAATGCAGCAGTATTAAAAACTCTTGAGGGAGAGATTTGTCGCCCTTGTGGTCCTACCCCACCCGATTCCATATTAATCGGTTCCCCTTTGGTATCCAGAAATTGGAAGATCCCTATACAACAAAAAAA